TCAATGTGGGTCACAAAACTTTCTACTTGCAATGAAAGCTTAATATAATTTTCCGACAAAAAAAAAAAAAGTCTGAATACGTCCCAACCGATCGTAAAAGATTGATTTGTGATTTTTTTGATAAAGTCACTGACGTGAGTGATGGTTTCGTATGGACACCAAAGTATTGTCATTAAAGTTTCACATTCAAGTATGGTAAACCGACTGGTTTTAGCTTTGTCCGAGTAAGAGTCTTGAGACTGACTAGTCTTGAGAATCTTAGCGAAACGCCTCCATACCGGGTGTATGCAATTATAATTGCGTAAAAGTTTGAATAATTATCTCTCGATAAACTCGTTATAATTTTTGTGACTAAAACAGTGTCATCTTGATATTCTGTCCGTCTGCGAAGACTTCCATAAAGGAAGTTTTCCTAGAGATAGTATATTGATTTATTTCACCTTATTTGTATCCTCCCAGATAAGATTTGAGCAAAATTCTCTTTACGTTTCGATTTCCGGGACAGCGAGCAACAGGTTTGCTCTCTGCTACATAAATTAGTATATCAAATAAATATACGCGTAAGATTTTCTTTGAGGTCGCCCCGGGTTATTTTGTTCCATCTTTCTAGATTCTTCCTCTTAAAGAATAAAACAGCACTCCATTTCAATGTCCGTCTTTAACCAAAGTCTGTAAAAGAATCGAGAAGCTCACTCTTAGATATTTAAGGGATGATGAAGGAAGATACCGTCATTTCTGGAGCTCCGCCTTGAAGAGACTTTCGTGAAGATGACTCGTAAATCTGAGCCTTTGTTTTTTAAATTATCATGAATGTGCCTTCATTTAGAGTGATAATGAGGCAAGGAAGCCGAATCGAGTTTACGACGAATTACGGAACGTTCAACCCGTCCATTTAACTCCTACAATGGGAATCGGGTCAGGTGCGGTAGTTGCTTCTCTGTCGTCTCCTTGAAACTTTTAATTTTCGCTCATCGCCAACGAGCTCTTTTGCAAGATCTTCTGCCCCAGCTGGCAGAGAGGACTCGGTCGAGTTCTTTAATTAAAATTTCGCCTACGAATTGCCGGCGTAAAGGAAGAAGCAATTTCCCCAAATGACACGGCGTCTAGGCTTTTGTGCGTATTAGAAAGACTTGAACCGGTCACGGGTGGCTATTTCGCTTTCAAACTAACCAGAGCGCTGCCGCGCTAAGGAAGAACGCCGTATGAACCTTCAGACGTTGCCAAATTTCCTTCGATAAAACACGAATTTCCTGGTAAACTTGTGAATATTTTCCTTCCAATTTTTCAGATAATTTTTCTTTGCAATTTCACCTAAAGTCCCTGAAAATTTCAAGGAAAAATATTCATAAATTTTCTCAAAATTGAGCATTTTATTGAAGGAAATTTGGCAACTTTCGACTGTTCATACGGCGTTCTTTCTTAGAGCGACAGAGCGCGACAGCGCGGGGAGAATTTCGCAATGGCAATTTGTGACGTTTTTGTGAGGATGATCTCGTTGCCCGCCGTTGCTTGTCGTTGCCCGCGGGACCTTGTGAAAAGGGAAAGTGTGTAATTTGGCCGCACAAGAATTGTCATTAGTCTTGATAATTTGGATCATGAGCCTCCTCTCCCTTTTCCCTCCTCCTCTTCCTCTTCCTTCCTCCTCTTCCTCTCCCTTTCTCCTCTTCCCCTCCCCTCCGCCACTCGGTGTGCCTCCAGATGTCGCGCCAAATCTTCAACCGCTTTTCCGTCACGGTTCCCAAATACCTACTTTAGCTTTATAAGCTTTTCCAATGGCTAGGAAATCTAAGAAAGTCACACAACCTTTGGGAGTTTAAACTTTTTCCGTCCGATTTTCCTATTTATGTCACATTATTCCCAGCACAGAGTTGGGCTCTGCGAGTTTTTCTAACAAAAAAGAAAAAAATAAAAGAAAAGAAAAAAAAATCTATCCATCTTTAGATGAGCCTTGATCTCACGATGGTACCAGACATTCCGTCTGTTTACAGCCCCCGAGGAAAGCTGCCCAGGTTACTTTTGGGGCGCCGCGCGCCTTCAATTCCGTGCGACACTCCTCGCACTACCGCGGAGTTAGTTTAGTTGCGTGACCTAATGTAACCCAACCTCGAGTCTTCCGTGGCAGTTCCACGCCTCATTTTCGTAGATTTGAATAAATTGGATTAGCATCATCATGCAAACTTGAGCTTTATAAGCTTTTCCAATGGCTAGGAAATCTAAGAAAGTCGCACAACCTTTGGGAGATTAACCTTTTTCCGACCGATTTTCCTATTTATGTCACATTATTTCCAGCACACAGTTGGGCTCTGCGAGTTTTTTTAACAAAAAAAAAATAAAAAAAAACCAAAAAAATAAAGAAAACCAAGTGTCTCCATCTTTTTAGCATTTAATTCAGATGTTACTTATTGGGAAATAGTATCTCTAAATTCATTCAAGATTTTGATGAATAAAAATGGCCCGCGTTAAGCAGGACGGAACCATGAACATTAGCCATTACCAAATGTCTCTAACAATTTTTTTTCTTTTCTTTCTTTTTTCAGGAGAACGGCCCCACAGTTCATTTGAAAAATTTCAGGGAATTTTCCTCACCTGTCAGAGAAAATCCCGTGAAATTTTCAAAAGAATCTACACCGCCGTTCCGAGAAAAAATAAATCACCCGATGATGTTTGATGTAATTTGATACATTCCTCTTTCCTTGGCGTGATCCAAAGAATCCAGTAGGCAGAGTGAATTAATTGTCAGATCTGAAACGTCGCCAACCGAGTTGCGTGGTTTGGTAGCTGAACCATGAATCTCTATGACGGACGGAAAGCCATTTTATTAGTTAAAGGAACGCAATGGAGATGTGGCATGTGTGAGAAATTTGCGATTTGACTGGTGATTCTTCTGTAAAAGTTTGTGAGAAACACGATGGTGCCACTGGTTTTCTCTGAAATCAACTCCCAAGCTCAAAAAAAACTCTCAAGTTGAGGCCAAAATAGAGGGGATATTCCACGCTATTCTGAGAGTCCACTTCCACATCAAAACGAATTCTCCATGGTAAGATAGGGAGCACATTGACAGGGCTGCCACTTTATTTGGGGACTCTATAACTGGAAACACGCCATCACTGCTAATGTATTTGCTCCTTATCTTTGCATGGAGAGTTTGTCTTGATGTAGAGGTTGACTCTCTGGATAGCGTGGGATATCCCCTCCATTTTGGCTTCAACTTGAGAGTTTCTTTTGAGCTTGGAAGTTGATTTCAGAGAAAACCAGTGGCACCATCGTGTTTCTCGCAAACTTTTACGTAAGAATCAAAAGTCAAATCGCAAATTCCTCACACATGCAACATCTCCATTGTCAGATCTGAAACGTCGCAAACCGCGAGTTGCGTGGTTTGGTAGCTAAACCATGGATCTGAATCTCTATGACAGACGGAAAGGCATTTTATTAGTCAAAGGAACGTAATTCAGGTCTGATGGGAAATTCAATGCGTGGATTCGATTGGGAGGAGACTCCTGGCACCCAGGCCCAGGCTCTAATCACGGTGAGCAGGTGTCTCTCTGATCGGAGACGATGTGGCAGCTGGACTCTCAATCTTAATTGAACAGACGAGGAAGTAATGAGAGCCGTGCCCTAAGGGCCCGCCGCCCGCAAACAAAAAGAAAAATCCAACAACTTCCCTCGTATTCTCTCAGGCTCTCCAAAAGTACAGTACTCAGCTGAGGGTCTCAGCTGAGCACTGAACTCTTACGGACCCCAACAACTCTTCGCTTATGGCCGGTGAAACTACAACAACGCGTATTTCAGTTCAAGACGCTTCAGACTTCCTGTCATAATTCATTTTTAAAATTTAAGAATACTCAAGGTCATTTCTTGAAAACCTCCCTGATTTACCTTTTCCGTGAAAATGAAAATTTCAAGTCATGGTGGTTCAACCTCTTCCCATGAAATGAAATTAGATAGGAGATTTTGGGACACCGAAAACAAGATGAGCATTTCTATAGTCTTTGTCAGCCGTGTTTTGAACATGCTACCGCGCGAACGCGATCGAGGCAAAAATCTATGTCACGCAAAAGTCTTAAATGACACTGTAGAATTACAAATAATTTCGATTTTGCACAAGATACCATTTAAAAGTATCAATATGGGGCTACGACTGAACATTCATAGGACGTGCCACATGTGTAGATAATCCGACCGTTTACACAGACATAGTAGGAATTTTTTTCTTTTTTTTCGGAAAGATCAGGTGCAGTTGAATACATGAATGCAGAATGCCTATAGTGAAGACTATATAGGAGGGATACACTTTTCACGTCCTGCGTTTTTAATTTTCGTTGGAGCAGTCTCTGAATCCGAACTTTGGATTGCGGTAACTTATCATCCATGTGTTAATTTCTGAGTTGCAATATGACTATGGCCAAAGTGCGAAACCACGTATTTTCATCGCGGAGTTTCAAGATTTCCGCTCCTATTTTATTTTCTCAAAGAAAAAGTAGCAAACTTCATGTCTTGAAATTCGTGCAGAATACACTGCCGACATAGAAGAAAACACAAGGCAGCTCTCCAGAAATTACGTGGTCTAGTTTTCTGAAGGAAAAGTAAAGTATGACAGCTCTGCCGTTCTGAGGAAAAATGCCGTATGAACCTTGAGGTGTTGCCAGATTACTTTTAATAAAACACGAATTTCCTGGTAAACTTGTGCATATTTTTCTCCAAATTTTTCAGATTATTATGATTGCAATTTCACCTAAAGCTCCTGAAAATTTCACAGAAAAATATTTATAACTTTTCTTGAAAATGAAGATTTTATCAAAGGAAATTTGGCAACTCTCGAAGGTTCATACGGCGTTCTTCTTTAGCATGGCAGAGCTGAAGTCTGCAACGGCACAAATAGATTTGATCGGATTCGCATTTTGGCCGTCGATTTGCAGGTCAGAGAGTTCCATGAATTTGATGCTTAAAATGAACCCAGTTAATGAAATGATTTCTAATTTGCTCTGAATTTTTGTTGACAGATAGTGTGCGGTATTTTAGTGGTTATAATGGGATGTGTCGCATGCATAGAAGAAAGAGGAGATCTTACGAACCTGGGATTCGGAATTCCAGCTGGTCTCTCCACAGTCATAGCGGCAGGTAATTTGTTTATCTCTTTTTCGGCTGAAATCATATCTCAGTGCTGTAAAAATGATCGCATTATGTATTTTATGCTGAAATTTACCTCTCCATGATATAAAAATTAATTGGACCGAAATGATATAGTTTATTATTTTTGAGAAAAAATCGCGCTCTGAACACGCGCGACGTAGATAGACGGAGTAAAAATATTGGAATTTGCAGTTATATAGTGCATAGTGTAGCACTTTTATATAATAATGCCCTAAAAATATGAAATTCAGGTAAAAAAGCTTTTTTCAAAAATTCAAGGGAAATAGTGTAGCTCCAAATCCATCGAAAACTAACGGATTTGAAGGGTTTCGCTTCTAAATTTCACACTGGACTATGGCGGTCAAAAAATGGAAGCCCTTAAAGAACTGTCATAAAATTCAGCGCTCCTACGCTGCGAAATAGACTGATAGTCATGTGGTAAAACTTGGATGGATCCATTTTCCAACAGCTGTATAATATGTATATTTCACCTCTCACAACTGTAGATCTTTGAAAATGGGCAGCGCTGCAGACTTAAGGAAAGACAGGACGCCTTCAATTGTATGCCTATGCAAAACGGAAATCTCCTTAGCACGAATAGTTGCATCCGATCGCCGTGTGGTGTGTGTGCCGTTGTGTTCTCGTCACATTTGTCAGCCTCCCCCGCAATTATTTTTAGCAGGAAAACACGGAACTTTTAAATTGATAAAATGCGAATCCCAAAATACACCCCTCATGCGAGTACATCATAACATAAATTCCTTTTACATTATTTTATCAAAAATTAAATTCTGTGAGGGGAGTGAAACACTGGAAAGTACTGCAAACTTGTCCTTGCTTTAAAATTTACCATTGACAATTTAATATACAAGAGAACCTTTTTTTGACGCTTTAATTACGAATCGTTTAATTGGCGCACAGCCCCGTTCCTTTTTTTATTGTATGCCCCGTAATTTTATAAAGCAAGAGAAATGAATTGTAGATATAAAGCTCTGATTAATCGTTTTGGGAGTAAAATGGCCGAGGTAGCGAAGACTTGGCGAGCGTCAACGCCTGTCGACCTGAGGTTGAAATTAAAGATTCCGTACGTCTGCCACTTCTGCCAGTCGATTGGAGTATAGACGCAGCTTCTGCTTCCTTCTCCCTTCCCCTTCCCCCTCATATTAGATTGCATTTCCGCTCCAGCTGACGAGTGTTGATTTTCATTACTGCCACTCAAATGTGTAACCTTGTCACATCTCTAACAATTAGAATGGTTAAGAGAAATCCTACTTTCTATTAAAAAACAACTTAATCGGCCCGAAACATTAACAAAGAAACAACTTAAAAAGGGGCTAAGGCCGCAAATAATAAAAAAAAACACATAAAATAAAATAAGAAACCCGGCACGTTTCGACGGGATCACACGCGCATTTTCAACCGGCAAAACAAGAAAATCAAAAGAACCACACTATGAGCCTCTCCGTTGTTATTGAAACGTTATTAACAACACGACAATCAGGGAATACCAGGAAATGTCAGGGAATTTTAAAAAGTCAGAGAAATCCGGGAAATATCAGGGGAAATGACGAAAATGTCAGGGAAAATCACCTTCATTTGCTTTCTAGAATGGGTTTGAGATTTTGAACAAGAAATTTTGACTGAAAACAATTTTCAATTATGCATTTTTTAACCATCCGTCAGATCTTCAATTGTCAGGAAGTTTCACCAAAATGTGTCAGGGAAATCAGGGAAACGTTAGGGAATTTCCTTTTCCAAATTCTGTGGCAACCCTGACTTAAATGCCTCAACTTCATTAAAATTTCACGCAAGGCGCAATTCACTAATAAAAAGTCACTCGTAAAGAAACCTCTAACGGGAGTTAAATTAGGAAAATAGGACCTTTCAGAGAACGTCATCCATCCCCAGAGATATCCGCGTATCCGACTAAAGACCGGAACGATACAAAACTTTATAAATAGGTACTTCATCTGCGGTAAATCTTCAAGTCCGCAGTTGAAAACCTGCGAATTTCTAGCGGGTGTTGAGGACCCATATCTTCTCGTCTCCACGCAACTGCAATTAATCTGGAGCAGAGAGACGGATCGTCTTAATGATAACCCTGCAAATACGGGTCGTTACCCTGTTGCGTAATACGTTGTCCCTATCCGTCCCTCCTTTCTGAATTGGAAGATTTTGCGAGGTTGCCAGGAGTCAGACGAGAGATCGCCGGCTTTTTCATGTCTTTTATCGTGAAAATTCCTAACCATGCAGCTGCATAGTGATCAGAAGGAATTTAGATTGTAGCGATGGAAAAAGTTTTAAGGAAGAACGTCACAGTAGCGACGACCGCTAAATGAACATTTTAGAAGCTCGTCTCAAGTTCAAAAAGAGAGATCTTGAAAAAACTTTTAAAATTTACACTCAGGAAACCCTTTTCGATTTATTTTTTTTTTTTTTTCAAAGTAAAATTTACAATAAGTAAACTTTAGTGAGTAATGCTTAACCTTAAAATACCATCTTGGCTCCTGTTCGATTGATTTTTGTGAAACTCGGTATCAGAGGTACTTTTTGACAAGATGAGATGGAAAATAAACCTCTCGGTATAAAAATTTTAGACTTTCAAAATGTGTTTAAAGTAAAGTATTCGTTTAAAATAAAGTTGAATACTTTATTTAAACCGAAAATTTCATTTTCAGCTCTTTGTAACCCTTATATATGAAAATTACTCATCGTTTGCCATTCCACGTATGTAGCACAAATAACACACTAAGTCAACGCATTGAGAGTCATCTATCCGTAGATCGCGGTCGGAGCACTATAAAACGCCTTCAATTGCGCGTGATACTGTGCAACACACCGAAGTTGATATAGTTGTATTCTTAGGTTGGAACCTAACTCAAAGATAATTGCTCTACCGAATAAGGCATGTTAACCTGCTAACTGCTGTGTTTCAAGTCACTTTTCATATTTTATGACCATTATCGCCCCTGACAAATAATGTAAGCCTCGATTGACCTTCAAAGAAAGAATTATCATTGTATAAATGTGGCCAACGAAAGAGGCTCGCCTAAATGGAAACCTGTTCTTGAAACTTTTCTATTTTTTGAGTGTGTTCGGTATATAATGGGAGCTCTTTTTTGACAGAAAACTTGAATTTCCAGTCAAATTTTCAAAATCCGTAAAAAAAAGTCCATAATGGCGGACACGGCGGACAATTCTATCTCTGCTCCTCTTTGATCGATTTTTGTGATTCTCAGCATCCCGCGGTATGTTTTGGCGGGAAACTCGAACCTCCAGTCAAATTTTTCAAAATTCCAAAATGTAAGAGAGTGGATGGGGCCCAAAGTGCTGTATTAGATTTTCCAAAAGTCACTATGGTGTAACATAACGCACTATTTTTTAAAAAATTAACCGGCACTATGAACACATGACTTGATGCAAATTGAAATTGTTTCCAAAACCGATTATAAATGACTTACTTTTATTTCTTACACGATGGCAATTCAGGCGGGCCGCCCATCTTGAGGTGACTAAAACGTTTCAGTTGGCTATAGTGTAAAAAATAAAAGTAAGTCATTTATAATCGGTTTTGGAAAAAATTTCAATTTGCATCATGTCATGTTTGCCAAAAGTATTTATCCTTGCAATCAAGATATGTATTTATTTTCTGTTCATTTTCAAAATGAATTCTTTCTCAGGTAATACAGACCCTGATATGGGTGCGCTCTCCAACACTGATGTGTTGAAACTGCTTGTTTACTCATTCGTTTGATTATGTATCTATTTAGTTTTCGATCCGGTTAAATTGGTTCTGAGCTTGAAAAGTCATTTAAAATGGTCTTTATTTCATCATCATAGTTATTTAGCACCTAGCGTTCGAGTAGACAAGCTACTTTTCTCTGAAGCTCTGCAAATTCTCTCAGTAATTTATTAGTTCTATCTGGTAAGAATAACGGATCCAAATAGTGAAGGATGGAAAGCCAAGGGACCCATCTCCAGGTTGAGGGAACTGTGACAGGGCTGCGGCCTAGGCGCGTACTGGATTTACATCTTGTCTACTCAGGCTTTAGCTTTTAACAAATTACGTCAGAGCTGTATGTTGAGGGTCTCTAAGAAATTCGCAAGCGAGAATCTTCCTAAACGCTCCCTCATTTTTTTCCAAATCGAGGGGGNAAATACTTATAATCCGTCTTCACTTTTAACTCATCCCGCCAACAATGACTGTTGAAAAGCACCTCCCAAAAACTCTTAAAATAACTGCTAAAAGGTAAATGAATGATACTTTATTCCACTGTTTTTTTTTTTAGTGAATTCAATGTTTTACTTAAAATTTACACTCAGGAAACCCTTTTCGATTTTTTTTTTTTTCAAAGTAAAATGTATAAGAAGTGAACTTTAGTAGGTAATGCTTAACCTTAAAGTACCATCTTGGTTCCTGTTCGATTGATTTTTGCGAAACTCGGTATCAGGGGTACTTTTTGACATGATGAGATGGAAAAGAAACATCTCGGTATAAAAATTTCAGACTTTCAAAATGTGTTGAAAATAAAGTATTCGTTTTAAATAAAGCTGAATACTTTATTTAAAACAAAAATTTCATTTTCAGCTCTTTGTAATCCTTATATATGAAAATTACTCATCGTTTGGCATTCCACGTATGTAGCGCAAATAGCACACTAAGTCAACGCATTGAGAGTCATCTATCCGTAGATCGCGGTCGGACCACTATAAAACGCCTTCAATTGCGCGTGATACTGTGCAACACACCAAAGTTGAAATAGTTGTATTCTCAGGTTGGAACCTAACTCAAAGATAATTGCTCTACCGAATAAGGCACGTTAACCTGTTAACTGCTGTATTTCAAGTTACCTTTCATATTTTATGACCTTTATCGCCCCTGACAAATAATGTACGCCTCAATTGACCTTCAAAGAAAGAATTATCATTGTATAAATGTCTATAAGAAACCGCTGTTTTTTGCAAAAAAAGTTTCTTTATCAAATTTT